AGGTCATCTAACATAAACCTTTCATTTTATAGACAAGGGAACTAAGGTCTACTTTTCCCATAATTAACACTTCGGCACTTGTCACTTCTTTCCCTGGTACCCTAACCAAATAGAAGAGAAATTTTATTGCACATTTTTGCTTAGATTAGTATTACAAGTGAATGTGCATTCCTTAAATGCCAGTCCCTAGCACACTACTTTGTATATAGCAGGTAGTCAGGTGAGTTCTTACACACTGTTCTTACTTTAAATGTGCAAATTTGAGTAAATAACAATGCTCATTTTATTTTCATCTGTACAATTTTAATGTGCAACATTATTTTTCTAATATAAAAAGTGACTTCACGTAAGTTTTTATTCAAAGGATATCTATCACAAGTAAGACTCTTCTGTCTTTTCCGCCACTGTGAAGCTCATTTCCCCCAATAATACCAAAAACTAACAGGAAGACATAAACCAAATCAGTTCTGCACACAACATCATTCAAGACACCTCCCAATAGGGACAATAAGTCAGTCAATTATTTATACATACACATATTTATTACCTATGCTAAACATTAGGCCAGAAAATCAAGGGGCTTAAAATTGCTTAACTAGTTTTTCTGGTCAATAGGAAAGACTATTTCATCAGTTTCATATTACAGAGGAGAGCAAGGAAACACCTTTCTGGAACAGTACTGAGATGCAACCATCATAGTTGGCCTTAATATAGACAAGCAAAAAAACACCCTAAATCTCTGGTGTGCTTAGTATGGAGGGCAGGTTGAACTCAGGGCAGGCAGCATGTCAACCAGCTAAACAAAAATGTAAGAAGCCAGTTGATGTGCTAGTCAATCTTTAATTTTAAAGCAAAATGAGATCATGAGCTTATCGTTAAAGCAAACTCTCAAGTTAAGAGCTGTATGGTAAATGTTTCCCACTGCAGTTGAAGGAACAAAATTACTTCTTAGTGCTGATAAATGGCCTGACCCACAACCAAGGACAAAACTCAACTACTGAGTTCTAGGATTCACCACAGAAATCAGGACTAATATGGCACCATTATGTAAACCTTATGGATCACCATCTGTTGCTCACTACAACTAATAAGTAAAACAAAATTGCTCGATTTGTTTAAATTAGAATTTAGAAAATATGAAAATGGTCCATATATAATCTTATTTTGACTGTAACTATAATTCTAAGTCTAAATGTACCAGATTTAGACATCTATATGTCTTACAGAATTGAATAAAGATGAGGAACTCTGGCCCCAGCACTGCTTCCAGGGCCTGACAATGAATTAGAAGACTCCTATAGCTTCCCTGTCATTCATCTGTTCCCATAAAGTGGGTAGAACAATGACACATATTTTTAGGACTGTTTTAAGAAATAGTTAAGGTCTTACTTGCAAATAGTTACATAAATAAGAATACCTGATGACAACAAATTATTTGAAGAATCCCTGAATTTGTTTGCTGAATAAATACAGTATTAGAACATTTTCTACAATAAAACATCAGGGTTTCTTTTAAATTTTTAGGTACCAGTTTGTTGTCTATCTTACAGCAAAATTGCAAATACGTTAATCACACCCACCCATGTAATGATTATTCTTAAACATAACTAATCACAAACAGAAGAGATCTCAAATGTAATTTTTCTATCCTATTTTCTCCACAACAATTTTATTCTATCAGGAATTCAAGTAAAACAGCTTTAAAAAGGAAAAGTACTCAGTAAAATTTTTTTTTTTTGTCTAACTAAATAGAAATTCTTGTTCATTTGTTTAAACTATGAAGACACTGGGAGATAAGAAGAAAAACTTATATTGGTATTCTGTTTAGGTAACCAAAGAGGGGTGCAATGTAAGTTAAATTAGTCTGCAGTGAGGGTAGGTTGTGGCTTTGTTTTAGGTTGCCAGAACAAGTCTTCATTTAGAAAAAAGACATGGGTTACTAGTTTTCTTTATTTAATCCAAAGTTTATTTTAGAATTCTAGTGTTTAGAAAATATACATATGATTCTAACAGCGTATTCATCTGCAAATAATCTCAAGTGAATAATGGAAGTGATCTGGACCATTGTCCATGGAGTGCGACTGAGGGAGGTCAAACAAGGCGCAAGCTTGTCATCTTGGACTTAAGTTGAAGATATTCGTTAATATTACACAAATATTACAAAACTATCAAGTTAGCAGTATCTTTATTTTCCAGAGCTACCTTAAAAATACTTTTCCAATCCTTAAGAATTACAGCTTCTTATCTCATTAAGTACCAGGATTTCAACTTTGAATATGTAATTTTTCAAAGGCTCCTTTAATGCTTGAAATTACAATGGACATAGTTTTATCAAACAGCATTTTAGTTTAATAAAAAGAATAAATTATAAATTGAGGTAATAAATAACTCATTGTCCAGCTAAAGGCCTACTTCACATACTATATTTATATTTGTAGAAAAGAAAGACAAGTACAGACTTGTTTGTGATCTGCAAGCACAATAATTTAGAAACTATGATCAACCTAAATGCAAAACCCATCTGATAATTTTTAAACATCACATTTGTTTAGTAATGATACCAAAGATTGATAATGGAAGTAGTACAAAACAGATAATCTTTGAGAACATTATCAGGTGATAAAATAATTGATGAAAAGATAATGTTGCTTCAAAAATGTGGAATGAAATATCTAAAGAATTGCAATCATCACTAAAAATGATTTTAATGTACTATATATTCATGTACAGTTTCTTAGGTGGAGATGGTAGTGAAGGAACTTTCACTTTTTAGTACCTTTATTTTATATAGTCACTTAATGAATAATATAAATCCATTCTTGTGCAGCAGGGGATATGAGACTACATATAAAATGTACCCAATGTTTACAAATCTACTAATGTTTAAATATTTTAAAGTTTTAATATTAATATAAAGAAACCATTTTTGCAAATAGAATTTCTAAAGTTGAAAAATAAACACTAGGAAGTGTGCCATTACAATTTTAAAATACATAAAACTATGCATTTGGGGATAAAGGTGTTTACTGTCCTTTATTCTTTCAGAGCAAGCAGCACAAACTGAATTCACTCTACTACAGATTAAGTTTTTCTCACATTAAAGTCAGCCCAGATAAGTTGTAATGGATGTGTAAATATAAATTATCAATGGACAAATAATTAAATCACATGATTTACCAAAAAGAGCTCTCCACTATTATTAAACACTTCAGTCAGCTTCCTACACAGCTAATTTTATTTTAATAATAGAAAGACAAGGTTACTTTCCCCTACTGTTCTCATAATACATTAAAATATACATTACTAATCCAACTTTTAAAATCTGCCTTTCTTAAAAAATTTTAGTCCTTTTAACTTGGATGTCCTTTACCTTTATGTAAAAACCAAGGTGCAATTTTAATTCAATCTAAGGGTGATTTCAGAGACACTGTTACAGGAGTCAATAGGTGAAAAAACCACTCTGATTTCCAGAAACCTTGATGGTAAGCAGATTAACCACCTTTTCCTTTAAATTACTGCTTTAAAAAGGGGTTGAGTATATCCATCAAAGAATAAAAACTCTCTCTCTCTCTCTCTCTCTCTCTCACACACACACACACACACACACACACACACAATCCTATTTATCTGACCTAGCAAGTTGCTACATGATTGTCAAAACCAAAATATTCTTTTAAAATATTTAAACTTCATTTTAAAATTAAAACTGAAAGATACTCAACCGCCAACTATTCTATAGTATGAAACTATTAAAACCTGCCCTGACCTACTTCATATCAGCATCATGACAACATGGATGTATGCCAAGGAAATAATGAAAATTACTATATAACAAATCTTAATTTTGTATTTAAAAAGTGTCACTGTTTTTAAATGTGTAAATATTGTACTGCAAAGCCAGTTGTTTTATGATGCATTTATTTTTAAATTGCAATATAAAGGTAAGGAGTTCTGATATTTCAGTAGTCATATTCAATAATGGACATGCAAGATTTCAATTTTTAGAATCATAGTTTTTTTATACCACATTTAACACTATTTTTAAACTTCTATTTAAAGTAGTCTCTTAGACCAAATTCCAAATATTGCTTTCCATTTTTAAAATAGCACTGTTTTTTAAAAACTTGTCAGTTGATGACCAATCCTACAAAAATAATTCAAGTTCATGCTCAAAAGAATATGTGCAATAGCTCTACCAGAAGATAGACTTAACTCACAGTATTTAATTATTAAAAGACTGCCACCAGTCTTTCAGAGTTTAATGTAATGCTGAAATACTGGAAATTCTCATACAAGAAAGTACAGAAATAGCAAAGGATATTTCATCTATGGTTTCTTTAAAAAGACACATGAAATAGCAAGGCATTTATTTTGAAGACATCTTCTTAAATTAAAAAATCATTTTATAGTGTAAACTACCTCCTTAAAATATCATACTAAAGAGGCACTTTCTTCACAATCAATACAAAGAATAAACTCCCTGGAAGGGAAATTTAATCTCAGTATAAAGAATGAAAAAACATCCAGATACAGCAGCTAGACCAAATGAAAGGAAGACACATTCGGTTTTGTGCTGCATATTAATATTCTTATGCACAGTGTCTGGAGAAAATTCACAATACACTTCTTCCTCCCTGTATGACTGCAAAAAGGAGTAAACACATTTCACATTCCTCAGTCCCACATTCATGCTACCATCATGCAAAATGACAGTTTCGACCCGTATTCCTCCTACATATAAGTATAAAACACAAATAACCTGTTTATCTGCACTCACAATTGAGGAGGGGTATACAAGCATTTTTTGGCTATGTAGTCCAGAGGCTGATGTAAAGTCCCCACACGTCCAGAGGTCCCATAAATATGCACAGGACTCTGGATACCCACATTCAATGAATGCATCAGCCTCCTTCTCCGCTCCCCAGCCCGCCGCCCCCTACCCCCTTTGCAGCAGAAATGTGCCTGGGCTTTTTTACCCCAGCGATGGAGGATTCTCTTACCAGATGGAGTTCTTGATCTTGTGTTGCAGCGCGCTGGCCTCTGTCCCTGGCAGCCCAGGCACAAGGGCTGGCAGAGCCACCCCCGAGTTGGGGGCGCTGGGGGGAAGCTGCTGATGGGCATCAGGCTGCTGTGGTGGCGGCTGTTGTTGTTCCTCTGCCATCGCTGCTGGAGGGGTGGGAGGGAGGGAGGGAAGATGGGGGCGCGGGGAAGGGTGAGGGGAGAGACCTGGAGGGGAGGACCAAGGGGGAGAGGAGGAGGGGAGAGGGTAAGAGGAGGAGGAGGAGGAGGAAGGAAGCTGGATAAACTAGGCCTTTACCCCAGAGCTCGAGTGAGTCGCTTTCGCCCGCCGCCTGGGGGACATCGCCGGGGAGACCGAGCGGCTCGTCACGGTGGGGGCGCTTCACCGCGGCAGAGGCATGGCGGCGCCCCTCAGCCCCCCGCCGCCGCCGCCGCCGCCGCCTCCTTCCGTCAGCGGCCGGGGCTAGGGGGTGAGGAGGGGACGAAAGAAGACCAGGCGTGGGGGGGCAAATCTCCCCCAGATCCAAGGAGAACGAACGGTCGCTCAGGGACTTCGCGGCCCGGCCTTCCTTTCTTGTCCCACGGGCTTTCTACGTCGGGGGCCCACGCTGCTGCAGCCCCAGGCTCCGCTCCACGCCACTCCCCACGCCGCCGCCGCCGCCGCCGCGCACTCCCGGCCCCGCCGCCACCGCGGCCGCCGCTGCTCCGCCAGCCCCAGAGGCAACCCAGTACGCGCAGCCGCACTGCGGCCCGGCGCAGACGGCAAAACACCTACCGCTCGGCGGGGTGGGGGGGGCGGGGGGCGTGGACCAGCGTGTGCGGGTTACGGGCGCGAGCGCGGGGGGCCGGGAGGGGGGCGCCCGGGGGCGCGGGCCGCAGGGCCTGGAGCGGGGCTGGCCGGGCTGGTGGAGGAGAGCAGGAAAACGTGGGGGAGGTGCTGGCGAGAGAACGAGAACTTGCGTGAGGAGGAGGAGGAGGAGGAGGAGAAACCAAATTTAATATTTGGAATGGAAATGGTATTTTTTTCTTTTTGCATCTTCAAAGCAAGTGAAGTGAAATTAATCAGCAGTATCCCCCCATCCCTCGACGTGTGAGGATTACGTTCTCCCTGGGTACGTGAAGAGAACTGAAGCAGGTAAGAAGATAAGCTGACTTTTCCGAAGCCCCCAAAGAAGAACACCCGTTGGAATTAACCACCCTTTAGGTAATTCAGTCTTGAACGGAAATCGCAAGTCAGGAGCTGGGTTGAGTGCTTCTCAGTCGGGCATTCAAAGCCCTCCAAATCTGGCCCCACTTTAGCTATCCAATCATAGCTGCCTCCATCCCCCTGCGAGAACTCCCGGCTCCAATCAGTGAAGTCTCCATGCCATTCTCAACGCGCAGCAGATTCATTCTTGCTTCGTGTCTTTGCTCATGCTGTTCCCCTCACCTCCCCACCCCACCCCCTTTTCAGGAATGCCCTCCCTCCTCCTCTGTATCACTCTCAAGCCAAACCAGGCTCTAAGGCACGGCTCAAGTCACAGCTTGTCAGGGTCCCTGGCAACCAAGGCCCCTGCCTGCCTCTGAAAGAAAAGCCGGTGGTTCTCCCAGCGTGGAGGCTCAGGCTCCCAGCCCCAGGCTCCTTCCTTTGGATCCAGTTGAACCACTGGAGGCACTCTCTAACCTTCGCTTTCCCCCCATTCTTACCTAAGCTTTGCCCTCTTAAGAGTAAGACTCCCTGGCTGAAACAAGCAAGTCCTCTTTAAGAGCAGAAGAATTGGCTTTTCTAGGTGGGGCTGATCAGGGAGGCCTAAACAGCCTGGGTGTAGAAGACAACAGCCAAGGCCTCTGGCACCAGATGCAACAGCTGCTCAGCTCACACTGACCTTTCTCTGGGTCTGTTGGTGTTGTGAGCTCTTCAAGCTTTAACTTTTCTGACAGTTTCTGTCAGATTTCTGCCTGTCAGATTCTCTAGCCACTTTCCTGCCGTGCTTGGACTTTGGGCCATGAGGCTCTGCCACCTTTTAGACTCACATGGGTGGAGACTGTCATTGACTTGGGCTTCCTGGCCTTTGAAGTGCTCAGTTCCCTACCTTGGCCTGGAACACTTTTTGCTTTAGCACCACTGTGCCATCAGGCCTGGCACACAGACTCCACTCCCAGATTAATCCTGAATGCTTGCACGTGTGTGCGTGTGTATACACGCATGCACAGGCGGATGGCAGGAGGGCCTTGAAAGAACATCTGTGTGCAAAACACAGCTCCTCCATGAGAATTCCAGGCCTCTTGGATTCCTTTGAGCCCTGAATAGCCATTGCACTGATGGTTTCACACAAATGAAACCTCATCCCATAACCTAGGTTTACTATTAGCTTAGCAAGTCTAAGAAAATACAGGTTGTTTACGAACTAATTTTGCATATGTACCTTTGTGTTCTATATAAAGACAGTATTTTGCTCTACCAAATTGACAGACACGGTGTAGACTAGACAGAAGTTTTGAAGGATAAAAATAACTAATGTTAAGCACTTTCATTGTGCTTTCCATATATTGTCTAGTCAATCCTCCCCAAACTGTATAATGTAGGTAATATTATTTTCCTTATAATACAGAAGAAACAGAAGCTTAGAAAGGTGAACATTCTTAAATTTAACAAATTAATGAATGAAAGGGCCAAGATTTGAATCTTGAAAGTCTAATTCTGGGAATCTGCAAGCCATACTGAAAATGAAGTTATACTGAAAATCTTGAACATATATATAAGTTCTGTACTTGTGGGAAGAAGGAGGAAGTAAAAAGGCATTAGGGATAGTTGCCAAGTTTCTCAGATTCTAATATTTTACCTGGGTAAGAAAGAATGATGGCTCCTCATTGCCACACCTGGGAGTGGGAGATCCTAGGGAGTGGGAGAATCATCCAAGAAAGGTAATGTATCTGAGACCTGCCAAAGGCCTTAACGAAAGGAAACTGAGAACCAAGATGTTTCTTAAAAAGTTAGCTACTGGTGTCACACAGGCTGGCTTCCCTAGTGCATCTTCTGAATTTTTAATAGGCTCCATAAAAAAGCCTTGTCACCCCCGCAGCCACTAGAGGGCTCAGCAGAGCTGCAGCCTGAGCTGCCCTGGGGGGGAGGGGAGGCACTGACTAGAGGGCATTGTTGAACCCTTGGGGCCTTCAAGTACCAACAGGTAGTTGGAGGGCACATCTGAGATTCTTTTGGGTTCAACCAGCAATGAGGGGCTGACAGATCATATCACGTTGATCATCTTACTGCCAGAATGAGACATACTTGAAGGGAGGTGAGAGTCAACCCCCACTGCTCACTTAGCATCAGGAAGTAGAGTGTATGTTTTGTTATAGTCTTGAGAGAAACCTGTGAATAAAATTATACCACTAGAAACTAAGAAAAAACCTGATGAAACCTAAAATCTTGGATGGGGACTCAAACCAAGCGCGGACACCCTGAGTAAAGGTAGCACTATATCCATGTGCTTTGGAAACTGTGTACATCCTTCTGGGTATGGAACCCTGTACTAAGGCCCCTCAAGGGGGGAATCAATGTGGCTCATTTTCTCAAAACTCTAGTCTGACTCATTGAGAAGTAATGGGAAACATTGTAGCAAGCATGAATTTTTAAGATAACACAACAGATTTTGAGCTTATGTTTCCCATCCCTGAGGACCATAAGTCTATTTACCCTGAGAAAAAAGTACTCTGATGGAAAATTTGGGGAAACACTGATGTAGTGGGGAAGAAATACTCCAATCGTGGAGCCAGAAGACCTGGGAATTCAAAGCCTTTGTTTCCATCTCTATAAGAAAGAAAATAATGACCTACCTCACAGGGTTGTTACAAGGAACAACATGTAAAGTGTTATCCAAGCCACAGAAGTGCTGTACGCATATAAGGACAATCTGCATGGTGGATTGTCAGCTCCTCAAAGGTAGTGACTATATTTTATTTTTCTTAATAGTGCTGAAGCACAGTTTCCTTACTCCTATAAATTTAGGAAACACTTGTTGAATTCAATAGTTACCTAACCTTAATTTTATTAGCCTAATACACTTCATCATATTTCTCTTATGTCTATAAATCTTGTCTCCTTTTTGAAACTCTAAACTTTTTATACTGTCCAGACTGTAGCATATACCTTATCATATATTTATTATGCCTGATACATAATACCGTCAGGCACAGAAAATATAAATAAGTAAATAAGACCAGGTCCCAAGTTGAAGTAGTTTACATTCTTTGGAGCAGAGAAACATATTAATGTATATATAAATTATACAAGATGATAAGTCACAAAATAGAATCATGTCTACTAATGCTATGGAGACATAATGGGGGGAGGTTTTGGTCCTGTTCAGAGTAAAAGAGCTGTTTGGAGAAGGCCTCTTGGCTAGCATTTGAACTGAGTCTCACTGGGTGAATGGAAGGAAGTCCAATAGCAGAGCAGTGAAGGCAGAGGACTTCAGATCAATAGCAGCATGAGTTCTGGTGTGAAACCATGAAAGGGTACTTGGAACCCAGTATTAGCTCTGTTCTTAGATCCTTAATTGAGCATTTAGGAGGAAGGAGAGGGAGACAAGCCTATTTTACAAAATGTTACTGTATATTGTTATGATTGTTCTGGCAAAAGATGAGGCCTAAAATAGATTTCATTAGTGGTAAATATTTGTAATGTGCTTAATTATGGTGGTTTACAGATATGGAAAAGATAAGATTTTACCCTATTCTCCTTTGTTTCGCTTTCAAAAAATTCCTTCATCTTCTTTTTCTTTGATCTCTACTTCCTCTGTCTTCTTTCCCTGCAAATTTTACCTTCTAGGAGCTGAAAGTAGAAATGTGTAATCACCTATATGTTATCAAGGGAACAAGGAAGGAAGGAATTCCACCTCCAAAAAATCCTTCTCTCTATCAGAAAGTGATGGTTAATTTCTTTGGGCTAAGCTGTTGTCTCTCAAAATGTCTGCGGTCCTAGAGGAGCTGATATATTAAGTTTTAATGCTGTAATGTAATTGAGTTTTCTTACCTTTTAATAGCATCAGAGGGAGGGAGGAAGGGAGACTGGGGAAGGGGACAATAGAGAGGAAGAAAAATTATAGAAGAGGGAAGCTGGAAAGTTCAAAACCAAGTGTGTATTGACAAATCTGCATAGATTTCTCCATGCCATACTTACTAATATAAATATAATGTGGAAATGTGAATTCTCCTGTTAGGGCACAGATATTCCATTATGTCATTAAAACAGTGGTTTGTTTGTTAAGGCAAAGTAGCCTAACTGTTCAAATACTGGGCAAGACATCAGTCTGTTAACTATATCACTACCTGACGATGTGACCCTATCTGTCAAGCCATTCTTTCAGGTCCCTTTACTTATCTCTAATGATTATTGGGATAAAGTTCTCATAATGTACTTGGCTCTTCAAGTGAAAAGTATTATGAAAATAAATGCCAGGTACTGTTTTGATTTCACTTAGAAATTTTCCACTGTTGTTACCATATGCATGTTTATATTATGACCTGCAATTCTCTTTGTATTAAAGAAGGTTCAAGTTAGTATCATCTGTCTGAATTTTTAAGGAAGTGTTTACTATTACCTGGAACAAGAAAGGTCCTGAGTAGAAATTTGATGTCTTAGAAATCCAGGCCAGCAGCAGCTGTGAACAGAAGTAGGTAAAGAAAAAGCATGTTTACCTAATCCTGAATGTGATCATGTAAAAGACTCTAGTGTCTATCCTACAGTGAGAAAGTCAGTGCTGGTACAGTCTGAACGAGGGGAGCCTAATCAGTAATCCTCAAACTCTATCATTCCTCAGTTCATTTCAAGGCACATTTAAGTACTTATCATGTACACATTAGTATGCTGGGACCTCAGAAAGATTTAAAAATAAGTGGTAAATACACTATTGTTCTAACCTTCAAGGAGTTCATAATGGAATTGGAGCCCTAGACATGTCAGCCCACACATATTTTTAAAAGTGAAGTAAAAATACAGGGTGTGATAGGACAATTTACTGAACTATTAATTTGGACTATGTTCTCCCTATATTTTCCCTCCCTCCATTCCAAAAACTGAATTTTGTGTTCCTAGACAGAAAGTTGTTTGACAGGAAATCTCTCAGACAACTCTATGGGGCCCCACTCACATTG